GTTGTTATGCGCTTTAATGTTTCTTTAACAGCGGCTATAGTGCCTTCCGATAACGCGATGCTACCTGTATCAGTAGCAGTAGAAATTCTATTTTTCAGTTCATCTTCCACTGATTTTAAATATTTCGAAAAGTTCGTAAATTTAGTTTTGAGACTACCGCGTTTTCGCGTTAAGTTACTTAACTCTGACATGTTGATTGCGAATCAATACTGACTTATGTAAAGGAAAATAGTATGTAAAGGAAGGTACTCACTTTCTGACTCGTATGGGATATCCTATTCGGCGATGATGTTTTATTCCAATGTGTATGTGTAGATGCAGTGCTGCACTTAGCACTCGATGTGTATGATATATTTCACGTATTATGAATGAATGAAATGAATGTACGCTGCACTTAGCACTCGATGTGTATGATGTATTCCACGTTTGATACGAAATGAATGTTTGCTGCACTTAGCACTCGATATGTATGATGTATTCCACGTTTGATACGAAATGAATGTTTGCTGCACTTAGCACTCGATGTTTATGATGTATTTTACGTATTATTTGAAATTAATGTTCGCTGCACTTAAAACTCGTTGTGTATGTATGCGAAGTTTGCTTTGGATATGTATATATCCGGTTCGAAGGACCAATGTAAAGTTGTTTGTTTTGTGATGCTTAGTAGAAAGGAATTGAACACGAAGTATGTAAACTTAACTCTTTATTCAGTTAACTGCTGAATAATACAATGACTTAAATGGTAGCTTAATTATTTAACAATATTCCTTTCTAGAGCGGCTGTACTAGCCTGACTGACTATTTTAAAAGAAATCATCCCTCGGTAAGCCCTTGGGGGAGGAGCTTTAAGTGGCGCATGCCGCTTGAGGCGCTTAAGGCACTTATACTTTGAATTTACAAACAATATATATAGATATTGAAAATAGACTTAAAAAAATATATATATATAGGAACTTTTCATGGGAGGGAAAAATCTGATTTTGTCGTATTGTGTTACTAAATTTAAAAAAATTTGAAATGGTATAAAATCTGTAATACTTGAATTTTTTTAATAAAATTTGAAATTTGGCGATAAACTTCAGTGAATTAAATATTGTACCACTTTAATTTGAATTATCTTAATTTGGAGGGGCAGGAGGCTGGGGGTTGCATTTAAAAACTAACTTTTTTTCGCAAACTTTAATTTAAATTCTGCCTGCGCAGAACTTGTCTATATAATGTCATTATAAACTCATATAAATTTGATGTGGGTCCCATGTCTAATAACTGAGATAAGGTTGTGCCAAAATCCACCAGCCGCCACTGAGTGGAACACACCCAAAACAACGAAATACCTGAGATTATATAACAGAGGCGAGATGTAAGAACACCACGTGATCCACACTGTCTAACGACTAACGACGCGTCGCGACGTGGCCTTTGCCGCAATCGGTACATACTATGCAACCAAGTAGGTTCAATTCTTTCTTATAAGTATTACCAGTAATGGGTCAAGAAAGTTTATTGAAGAAACTAAGAAAATTGAATGTTTAAAATGTCATGAGTTACTATAATATATTGTTTATTTACCTTAAACATAAAAGTATCTTTATTTTTACTATATTTTATATATATATATATATATATATATATATATATATATATATATATATATATATATATATATATATATATATATATATATATATATATATATTTATTTATATTATAATACTAGATGTAGGTACACCTTACATTTGATTAAATCATATAGTAAATATTACTATTTGTAGATAGTAAAATCAATTTACTACACTGTTTAAAATATCTACGGTGTAAAAAGTAATCCTAAAATGGTGTCAAAATCCAACACCAAATGGTGTTAATATAACACCATGAATTAGGGTTGAAAATGAACACCAAAACGGTGTTTATCTAAAAATATTTGAGAAGTGCACCTACCCAGAAAAAAAGGAATAGTTCATTTAACCCAGTTGACCCATGAGTATTTATATTTTTGTGGATCACGTGATGTTCTTAAATCTCGCCTCTGTTGACTTACATGAAGAATATATAAACGTAGGTAATCCTTTGCTTTGGTCACCAAAGTTTGGTGTGACACTACAAGTTGTTTGATACTAAAGAGACCTTAAATAGGTGGAAACAGCTGTCAATACTTGAAGTATTTTAGGTTAGTGGAACGCACTAAAAACATTATCTCTAGCGAGTTGAAGGTTCCATTTTCTGGAATAATACCACTGGTAATATACTAGTAATGCGTCAAGAAACTTCCTGTTTCCTTTTTTTTCCTTTTTTCTGTGTAGTATGATAATTTGACCACAAATACATAATATTTAACACTGAAAAGGAGTTCAATTTACACCAGGTAAAATTTATTTTAATACTGTGTGAAAGTTAAATTAACACCATTTTAGTATTTGAATTTACACCGCCAACGAACCTTATTTAACACCATTTTAGTATTTGAATTGACACCGGACCAACGAACCTTATTTAACACCATTTTGGTTTGTATCGATATAGACCACGTATGGTGTTAATTTGGTGTTAAATTGGTCATGAAATTTTGAACAGTGTATACGAACATATTAAAAATTAAAATATATATTATACATTTATGATTTAGTGATATTGGTGTTGTAATCTTTACTAAAATTGTATAATAAAAAATAGTAGGTATTTTGTATTACAATCTTAATATTTATTGACGAATATATAATATTGTAACCAGGGACCCGGACCGAAATGAAATATCGGTTCCGGTACGGTTTTGGTTCACACTATTTTCGTTTTAATGGTTTCGATTCCGGTTTCGGTTTCGTGGAGTTATAACGGTTCGGTTCTTTTCGGTTTTAAGCGGTTCCAGTGAGGTTATTTGTTTTACGTAATTTTAATCTATAACCTCACATATATATATACATTATATGTTATATAATGTTATTAGAATGAAAGCAAATAAAGGTTTCGGTTGCGGTCCAACAGATTTTATCAAAAGCGAAAACGGTTTCGGTTCGGGTTTCGGTTCGGAAAAAAAAACCGGTTCCGTTCCGGTTTTCGGTTTTTTTCGGTTTCCGTCCGGGTCCCTGATTGTAACCCTAAAAATTTGTTAAAGTAAATTTTACTATATTTTTTTTACTATTTAAAATTTACTATACGTTTCTCTCCGTGTATATTTGATCTTTTTGCAGTGCGTCTATGTTACGTCTACGTCCAACTATAAATCCAGCTTAAGATAAAAAATCATCAATTAAAAACTCCAACGAACCGCTAACTCGCGTGACGATCACGAAACCAAATTCTGCGAAGCTTAAAAATATTACAAATAGGTACACAGTAAAATTCTTATAGTAGGGGAGCCCAAGAGGGGATTTTGGGATTTACTAAAGCGCGGCAGATTAAAGTACAGGGAAGTACCTAGTACCCCATTAAATACCTCCACCAAGTATTAGCCCCGTATATGTGGCCGCGCGTCAAGGATAAAGGATCAGATTAGTAAAAAAAAATTGATCATCTGAAATTCTCGAGCGCGTCAGATTAAGGTAGGGTAAGTTAGTTATATGCTAAAAAGTGTATATTCCACTAATCTGACAATTTTCGATTGACGATAAGAAGTAGGTGGGTTACAAACTTGTAAAAAAAAAACGTCATCTCGACTTTCTCGAGCGTGGTTAAATTTTTTTTTATTTTGAAGGCAATAATTCAACGTTCACGAATAATATATAATCTGACGATTTCCGTAAGCCGAAGTAAGGAAAAATAATAGATAAAGTTTAATGCGTGCAGGTACGTGATGCCAGTATTCCCCTTCCCGCGTTTCTATTCCTCTCTCACTCTTTCTCTATCTATGACTCTCTCACTCCGTCCCCACTTTGGGTTCTGTTGCCATGACGCCATGACAGCTGATTGCGCAGATGGTTTTGTTTACAACGTATTTGTAACGCCTGAAATATTTTGCGATTTTGATGTTTATTATGTGAATTAAAATTTAAAAAAAAGTTACTATGAGTGACATTAATGTAAAGTGTGTGTTTTGTGGTGAAACTAATTTACAAAAAACTGTCAAATTTACGTTAGATACATTACAAAAATGCATAAATATATTAGAATATCGTCGGAGTAAACCGGTTCTCCGAAAATCTCGTACAACATACGAGAATCTGAGGATGAAATCGAGCCAGAAGAGGAAGATGATTCTACCGACGAAGATGATGATTGAAAAAAAATTCTCAAAAAAAAATTTATATTTTTCATACTTATTTTCTCATAAATAAAAGTTTTGTACTTTAAAGAATATATACTGTTTTATTTGCATGCTATTTTTTCAGCTCTTTAATTTGTTAAGTTAAAAGATTTGAAAAAATAAAAAAAAAATTCTTTCCATTGTCAGATTAGGCGAATCCCTCCAGATAATCGTCAGATTATGAGACAGCACGTTTAGGGTATATAAATGAACCATATATATCTTAATCTGACGCGCTCGAGTATTTCAAAATGGCGATTTTTTTTGCACATTCTAATAATGGTCGCGAGTTTGGGTCACATCCAAATCGTCAGATTATTACATAAGAGCCTTCTTTTGAGTTCACTTAACATCCCCTTTGAAAATCTGACGCGCTCGATTAAATTTTTTTTTTTTTCGTTTTCAACCCTTACGTACGACCACCCCCATCATGGAAACAATCAGATTAACATACGTATGTTTTCAAAAATACGTAGGACATGGATGCTATTAATATCTGACGCGCTCGAGTATGTCCATGCAACTGTTTTTTTTCACATTTTTGAAAATTTATAGCCGCTTCCCCCACCGATGAAAGTGTATATATTATATGACATTTTTTTCTTTTTATCATCTAAGCTTCGCAATCCAATAGGTCTCTTTGACGCTCGAGTAAATCCCAATTTAGCACCCTGGGCTCCCCTACTATTATTTCTATCTTTCTGATTTACAAACGATAGCGAGGAAATCCTAACAGCCGCGCGCACTGTGTTTCCGTCGTCAGTCCGCTACGCGCCCGCGAACACACCGTCTCATTTCTGCGTTCAGTGCAGTGCCAGCGTCCGAAGTTAGCGCGTCTACCGGCTCGTCGAAATGCCATCGGAAAAAACCGTTTACCAGCCGAACCCGGCCCTGTCGAAGATCGCGTACGTCTCCTCCCTCAACCAGTACCAGGAGATGTACCAGCGGTCCATCGACAACCCCGAGGACTTCTGGGGCGAGATCGCCAAGCAGTTCCACTGGGAGACCCCCATCGACATCAACAAGTTCTTCAGGTACAACTTCGACGTCACCAAGGGCCCCATCTTCACCAAGTGGCTGGACGGGGCCACCACCAACATCTCCTACAACCTACTCGACAGGAACGTCAGGAACGGGAACGGGGACAAAGTGGCCTTTTACTGGTGAGCGACCTAATTTACCCAAGTCGACACTTTTCGATGTACTTGCACTACAATTAACCAATTAACATAACTCCAAATACATTAATACATTACTGCTGTCTCATATTTCGGCCAATTTGCATATCCATTCACTCTTGCATCAATCGTTACATTAATAAATAAATAATAAAAAAACTTTCCAAACAAATAATAAATAAATAATACTGCAAGAAAGACCCGAACACGTAAATTGTTGCCCTTAACTCCTCAATTTTTTTAAGTTATTGATTTGTAGTAAAGTAGCGCGCTATAATAGTGCGCACGCGCGCGTTTTTCGAATCTATTGGTCAAAATTCACGCGCCATGTCGTCTGTCTGATCTCAGCTGTTCGATGCATCATCACTGAACATTTTAGCGTTGTTTTTATTTAGAGATGGGAAAATTCCCATTTGACGAAAATTCCCGGAAACATTCCATCGAAAATTCTCGAAGTTTTCCGAAAGTTTCAAAAAAAAAAAATTTTATTGCGAAAATATTTTTTTTATGCCAAGGATTTGGAAAAATATATAACACAATAACTTTTTGTCAAATTTTATTAAGAAAAAAATTAAAATAATGTTTGTAAGAATGTAACTGCAATACCTACTATTTTTAGTATATTTTACTTTGGAATATTCCTATTGTATACTGAAACCTACAAAATAAAAATATAATGTTTACTATTAAAAATTCACTGCTAGTAAATCCTAGATACTACGTAAAAAAATTAAAATGGACAATGTAACTAATATATAGAAATATTGAAAAGTAAAAGATACTAAAAATGGTATTCCAGATCTGGCTGATAAAATTTTTGTCTTTTTGCACTATTTTGTAATAATTCCAAACACTAGATTTTTCTCTTGGCATTGTGCTATGCCTATAAATAAACAACAAAAATTTAAGAATGATTTTAACTTTGTTTATTGTTTTTATTTTGTTTACTTAAAAAAAAAGTTTTTTGTGATGATGCTGAATAATCCAGCTTCATTGAGATTATGTAACATAACTTATATTATTTATACTTCTTTTTCTGCTTTAAATTAACACACATTAAAATCAGCGGTTAAACAATTGACATTTAAATGAAAAAAACAAGGAAAGTTTCCAAGGAATGTTTCCAAGGAATGTTTCCGGTAGCTTAAAAGAAACTTTCAAAATGAAAATAAATTCCCAATTGGAAACTTTCTAAAACGGAAAGTTTCCTTAAAATGGAAACTTTCCGATTCCCATCTCTATTTTTATTACATCATGGTCTGTGATTTTCGTAGTACCTATACTACGATTAGAAAACGTTTTTTTTATATTTTTTTAATTTATCATTAAAAACAATAAATAAACAACTTCCTTTTGTATAGTTTTGGTATCGGCTCAGTATTTCCATACTGGCGATTTTATGAAGTGGAAAAAGTTACAAAAATCGAGGTCGTGGAAAAGATAGAAATCGAAAAGATAAGTCCAGTTTGATTTGTTTTACGTATAGATAATAGATTATTAGGGTGTGTCATTTTTAAGCAACTTTTTTTTTTCAACTAAAAAACAGGCTAAAAACTTTCAGAAATGAAAAAAAAAAACCTCTAAAAATTTGAGCTCTTAATATTAACATTAAGTGGTGCCTGTTCCTAACTTTTCATTTTCCATTTAAATAACATGGAATTTTTTTTCTTTTTTCTTATTTTTGTAGCTTGAGCTTGAGCATTGTAAAAACGAACTGAAAAATTATTTTGGTAGGAAATTGAACGCTCTACAAAAAGTTTCAATATATTTTTTCATAGAGTGAGCCGTTCTGAAGGTATTCAAACTTAAAGTTGCCTTTAACATTTCGAATCGCGGCACGTTAGCGTGCCTCTAGTCACTGTGTAATCCGAACGGTAATATACCGACTGAGCCGATATAATCTTTTATCAGAGTTATCGACTTTAAAATTATAAAAAAAAGAAAGATTAAAAATTCAATACAATAAAAAATTTATTGTTTTATTTAATCTATTATAATCATTGAACAAATTTATTGAACACAAATAATTTTTTTTGATAGTAAATAAAATAAAATGGAAAAAAAAATTGAGATGTAAGTGTTATTTTCTTTCTATACGAAAATAATTATTTTTTCTTAAAATAATTTTTAAGACATAAAAAAGTATTAGTTTAATAAAATAAAAGTCATAATTTCATACATTTGCAAGTTTGAATACCTTCAGAACGGCTTACTCGCTGAAAAAATAAATTAGTACTTTTTTGTAGAGCGTTCAATTTCCTACCAAAATAATTTTTCAGTTCGTTTTTACAATGCTTAAATGTCAAGGTACAAAAATAAGAAACAAGAAACAATTTTTTTCCATGTTATTTAAATGGAAAATGGAAAGTTAGGAACAGGCACCACTTAATGTTATTATTAAGAGCTCAAATTTTTAGAAGCTTCTTTTTTCACCTTCCTGAAAGTTTTTAGCCTGTTTTTTAGTTGAAAAAAAGAAGTTGCTCAAAAATGACACACGCTATTATACATAAAGGAAAAATAGGCTTCTGTTAATAAAAATCCATGGATAAATGGCGAAGTTATGAATTTTTCAGTGACAGAGCAAATTATATATTGAATATTGAACATTGATGACATTGAAAGTTTTATTTTGTTGTAATAAGCATAGGTTTAAAAAATTCTGGCTCCTTCTTTGTTTTTTGTTGCTTTCTTATTCCGTTTCTCGTATGAGGGACCAAATGTAATCACCCATCATGGCTGCATCCCAGAAGCCGTAATACCGCCGCTCCATAGCCTTCATTTGCTGGTGAAAACGTTCTCCGTGCTCATCACTTACGTCGCCCAGATTGTCCGGGTTATTTACGCACTCGAACTCTCTACTTCTTTTACTCATTTTACACTTTTTATTAACTAAATAAAACCATGATAAAAATACCTTCTTGAAATATCAAAAAATATAAGTGAAATGTCACTATGCCATCACGAGAAACAAAAGAAGTCACGTTTGCTGAGTCATGTCAAGTTTAAATTTTGATTAATGTTTTCGGTGAAAAAAGTACGTAAAAAACTCAAAAAAATCCAATCGTGCACTCTATTTAGGTTTTCATTAAAGAATAAACATTACAAAATAAAAGGACAAAATAAAATAAAAATCGTCAAAAAGCTGAATTTTGGTCTTCCACTAAAAAATTCATAACTTTGCCATTTTTCCATATATTTTTATCAACATTAGCTTGCTATTTTTGTAAAAATGTCAACTTCACGAAAAGAATGCAAACTGGAGTTATCTGTTTGATTTAAACCCTTCCCAGGACGATATGTAAATTTTCGACCTCAATTTTTGCCATAAAAACGTTAGTTATTAAAGTCGCTAGTGTCAAAATACTTATCCAATATCAAAAGTATGTAAAAGAAAGTTTTAGAGGGTTCAATACCTTCAATTTAAGGGCTTGTTTGACCAAATCGATCAATTAGATTTCAAGCTATACTCAAAAACGTCAAAACACCTCTGAAAATTGAAAAAAACAATTAAAAAATCATATTTTAAAAACGCTTCCATAAAAAAATTGAGTGTGATTTTCGTGTTTAGTGGGTCAAAATACCTGGAAAATATATAATGGGATATCCCGGGCTGAACTTAGTTTTAAGTTAGTTGGCAGTTGTGAAATGGTTACTCTATTGTTATATAGATATCGCTTTATACAAATATTTAATTTAAATCATTTTCAAACTTTATACATAAAATACTATTATTTAGTTCTAGTTCTATTGGTACATTTTGTATAGTTTTCTAAATTTGTGCTAAACAGTTTATAAATATATAATATAATATTCAAATCTAAATAATGATATACGTATCTAATAATTGTTAATAAAAAATAGGTTTTGATGAAAAAAAATCCTTCGATCATCCTTAAAATAATATTTATATCATATACATAATATAAATATTACTTTAAGTATAATTAAAGGATTTTTTTATACGGTTATCACTACAATGTAGGTATAAACATAAATAATATAAATATTACTTTAAGTATAATTAAAGGATTTTTTATACGGTTATCACTACAATGTATAAACATAAATAATATATTTATGTATATTATTTATATTTATATTGTAGTGATAACCGTATCCAAAACATTGTTATGTATCAAGTTTGATAAACGCCATTTTATTCACGAATTTTAATTAGGCACAGCAAAGCTTGCCAGCAAGTGTTTAATAAAATAAGTGTCTAGAAAAGTTTACAAATTGTATACTAAGTATACTTTTTCTACGACAAACAACAACAAATTACTACCGATTACTACTAATTAATATAAATATTTGTACAAAAATAGAGTTACCATAATTTAAATGTAAAATCAAAATTTTCCCAGAAAACTCTTAAAATGTAGGAAGGAACTTCAACAAAATGCAAAACTGTAATAAATTGTTTAACATTAAAAATCATTTATTTTAAAAGAAAAATTTAATTTGTAAACCACATAATCTTTATTACTTATTTGTTTAAATCCACAAAGTAAACAGCGCAATATTTTGTTATATTTCCCATTAAAAATTCCGTTTAAATAAAATTTAATTCGCCAGTAAATATTAATACATACACATGTAATGGTATTATGACCTTGCCATGATAGCATTATTTTCTTTTTAAATTTAAATAAGTTAAAAATGTCGATAGGATACACGGAAAATAATACTATTGTTTAGTTTAAATATTAAATAATGTTTTAATTTAATATTTTAAAAATGTTTTGTTTTGTTTGGTTTGGTTGGTAATAAATGTAGTATTTTTTAATACAGGTATTTGGTATCCCTGTTCACAATTTTTTTTTATATTTTGACATTTTAATGAGCAATGCCTTGGAATTATTTTTCTAGGTTATTTTCTTCCGTTGCTTTATTTTTTACAAAAGTGGCGAATGCGCCGGGATTAATTTCTAAATAAGGGTACCAACATACAAAAACAATTTAAACATTTTATAACATTTGATTTA